GTCAATTAACGCAGAAATAAGAGTTCAAATTACACACAATATTAAGTTGATGTAATTACCAACATTATTACGTCAACACAACTTATAAATTAATGTTTGCAACTTAAAATGTTTATCTAAATCAATTAACTCACATTTTTATCTTGCAACCATGCATTTAATTAAGTGGAGGTGAAAGGTCGCCTGAATTCGTTTTTAGAGTGTATAGAAAATGTACTTTCAACACTGCTTGCAGGAAAATCTGGTATTTTTGCATTTTATCTGTACATTTTAACCCCAATCTCAAGAGAGAACACCTATACATCACAGCTGACAAGACCTCAGTGATCAGGTATTCAGGCCAATCTCTCGCTTAGAATTTACTGATTTCCTGTCTGGACTGGTGTAACACCCAGCTGGCCTCTCCAGTCTCTCCGGCATCTTTTCAACTCATCCAAAATTCAACAGACTGCCTTGTCATCGCCCTTTCCAAATCATACATGCCCTCCACCAGCTGCCGGTGTCTGCTTGGATCAAATTAAACCTTGGTGCTGGAGGAAAGAAACCACACACGGAAAAAGCTCCAAGGCTTTGGTGCAACCTATTTCTAATACATCGAGCATCTTCGCTTACATTCCCTGGACCGACCTGTTTAAATCCTCTTCCTCTTGGCTTTTAATTGGTTCAACTTGTCATGTTTTTGAAAGGATTATGTGATGAATTCCCCTCTGTATCTACCGAAAGTGCTCTGTTCAAACTTCTTTACTTAGCTGTCAATTAATTTCTCTTTAATGTACTTTACATTCTCTTCCCTATTTTATTATTACAGCATTATAGTAAAAGCGAGAAGACACAGGTTATTAAGATAAGATGAGATTAGATGAGATGAGATATGATAAGTAAAGATAAGTAAATATAAGATAAGATAAGATGAGTAAAGATAAAATGAGATGAGTAAAGATGAGTAAAGATAAGTTAAGATACGTAAAGATGAGATGAGATAATTTGAGATGAGATGGCATAAGATAAGTTAAGATAAGATAAGATGAAAAAAGACAAGATAAGTTAAAGGGGACCTATCATGCAAAATGCACTTTTTGATGTCTTTTATACATAAACATGTGTCCCCCCCCGGTGCATCGGGGAACTCACGCAGCGTCAGAAAATAAAACCCTCTCTCTTTTCCTCCGTACCCAAATCTTTTAAAAACAGGGGAACAACGAGCGGATACAGATTTGCTGCCGATCTGACGTCAAATCGGCGGCGGACCCACAGAAAATTGCTATCAGAAACAATGCCTGACATGTTTTGGACGTAATCTCATCTTTGTTTACATTAGCAAGCCTCGCTAACACTCAGAGCTAACCTGTACTGGAGAGCACATGTGTTTAAAAAGCGTGAAATAAAAAGGAACTCACCTTGTGATAAACCTGCAAGAGAAAAAGCATTTGAGCTCCATACTGTTTCAGAAATAATCCTTGATGTGGTGAAAAAAGGATGGAATTTTATCACAGCAGAATTTAACTTTATCTCCGGTAGAATTCTGATCAGGCATTAGCTTCGCCTCCTCTTTTTTCAAGCTAAGGACCCAAAATCCGCGTTTCTCTAACAGGGCTGCAAAAGAGGGGTATGAGCAGTATGAGGCATGGCTACAATGGGGGATCTGTTATCTGTGATCTGCTGGTATTTGAAGCACAAAACTTCACAGACATGTTTTGTATAGGTATGGCCCTACAATATATGTTTCCAATATAGCATGATAGGTCCACTTTAAGAGAAACAAGATTAACGAACAAAAGCAAACCTCTGCTGTACGTCGGTTTCCCGCCAAGCTACATACAAAATAAACTGCTTTATTCAAGGTTTATACGGACGATGTATAAGTGTGTCCATATGTTGGAGAGGAGGAGACCTTAGCAGATACTTGGGCTCTCGTAAAACTCCTCAAAACTCCATCTTTCCTTACTGTTTTGATTAAGAGACCCTGCCTCCTAACCACCTGTTACTTTGATCACTTTCAATCTAATTCAGTTCTTCAGACTGTATTTAAATCGTCTCTCTCTCTCTCCTCGACAGATGACGTCCTTCCTATATTTGCGTACAGCCATCATGTTGGGAAGTCTGTGACGGGGGGGTATGTGTACAGAGGATGTGAATCACCCAATCTGAACGGCCTGTACTTCTTCGGAGACTTTATGAGTGGGTAAGATGAGTTGATCTAAGCCAATAAAAGATAAGACAGTTTTCAGAAGACAAGGAACAGCTTGTTTGCTCAGCTGTTGTATAAAAAAACGTGCATTTCTGAATGACTAGTACAGAACTACAGGGATCACGTCTGTCCAGATTACATTGATTTCCAAAAGGGAAGGATTATACGGTGGCCCTGAAGGTCCAAACTCAAATATATTTCACAACAAATGAACAAGAATTTCCACACATTTTTTTTTTCATAAAACACAACATTTCACAAATACACCCAAAACATGAGGCATAAAACAATGAAAAAAAAAACACAATTAAAGTAATAGTCAAGTAAACTACAATACAGTACTGTACTGTACATTTAAATATATAAAATAAAGCTAAGTGTAGTTCAAATCAACATTATAGGCTGTATACAAATACAGTTATGTCCTTTAATTTAAACCTGTGTTATATAATGCTTTCTGTTCAAAGTTAAAGTACTGGGTGTTTAACATTTTAAACACAAATGAACATGTCACATTAAACTAGGAGGCAGGGACGTGCACACATAGACTCTAGGTAGTGCTTGAGCACCTGCCCGTCATGCCCTCTGGACAGCAATGTGCCCTTTTGAAAGTTCGTTTTTTACAGTTTTTTTTTGTTTTTTTTACAGTGTACTGTATGTGGCTCATGGTAACATCGATCAATTCTGGATTAAAAGCTTCTAATATATACAACAATGCCCCAAATGCGCGTTGTAATTTTGTCAGGCATCCCCACACGTGCCCCGCGGCACTCCCGCACGTGCACTGGCTGCAGCCCCTCCCTTCCCTGCTCTCAACGTTAACGCGCAGCGCGCAGAGCACACAGTCAGTCACTCAGTCAGACAGGCCACGGCGGGTGTGTGGTGCAGCAGCACGCAGCAACACGATTAAAAGTGCCCTAGTTACGACCAAGTAAGTAACCACCAGGTAACAAATACAACGAGTGTATTGTTTAATCCCCTAAATCAGATGCCAAACTAAACTATAACTTCACTTCTTTTCTTNACTTTATCTCCGGTAGAATTCTGATCAGGCATTAGCTTCGCCTCCTCTTTTTTCAAGCTAAGGACCCAAAATCCGCGTTTCTCTAACAGGGCTGCAAAAGAGGGGTATGAGCAGTATGAGGCATGGCTACAATGGGGGATCTGTTATCTGTGATCTGCTGGTATTTGAAGCACAAAACTTCACAGACATGTTTTGTATAGGTATGGCCCTACAATATATTTTTCCAATATAGCATAATAGGTCCAGTTTAAGATAAGGTAAGATAAGATGAAAAAAGACAAGATAAGTTAAGATAATTAAAGATAGGAAGCAACAGCTAACACCACTAACATACTGTATATGCTGATTTGGATAATTATCAATATGTTAAAAGTCTATAATGTCTATGTGCATTCTTAGGAAATTAGGCTTATACTCTTATTATTATTATAAATCTCCCTGGATAAGAGTGTCAGCTAAATGTTAAAAAAGTAAAATATAAATGTGTTTTCATCTATTCACTTCTTGGCTAGTGCTGAGGTAATATTAATATTGAGATATTTTGCAAGTTAAAAACTGTTTTTATTGGTTCTATTGAAAGCAAGTCAGAGTGCAGGAACAGCAACATAAAAACCACAGAGCTAGGAGAGATTCAGTGTCTCGGGGCAGCACAGGGCTTGGAGAGAAAAAGCTCTACATTTCACCAAGACACAGTGGTTGGATAGGTTGACGGCCAGGATAACGAGAATCTTGAGGAAAGAAGGAAATAAATAATGAATCCGGGTTGTCCACGGAGAGTTGGCCTGATGCTGTAGCTGTTTTTTTCCTGTGCAACACTAACACTTAAACATATGTGTGTTACATGTGTGGGAAGTTATTATCTATGCCAATACAACGGGTATCAGTTTCTGTTTATCTATCAGCAGGAAGACGGAAACACAAATGCCCGGATTTGTATGTAACTTGGTGTAAGGGTTGAGCATTGGCTAAAGAAGAACCAATTATATTTTTGAGCAGATCTGAATGACGAAGTACATCATTGAGGATTGTTTTTTTTTGTTGCTGTGTTGCAACCCAGTCTCACGGCATTTCGTGTTATAGTCACAAAAGTAATCTATTGATACCCCCTTTTTTTCGTGTCACTCAGAACGATTTCAAAGCAATGTAAATAATAACAAATTGGAAGGAAACAAAAGATCACAAAAAATACAGATTTTAGTATTCTGACACAGAACGATTTTAGAAGAAATGTATTTCTATTGGTAGTATGTTTCGTGCCTGCACCAAATAATAACAAATTAGAAGGAAAAAAGATTTAAAAGATTTCAGTATTCTGAGGCTCTGAGCCCCATTTCTTTTCCTCACGGACGGCAAGAAAAAGTCTGACATTATACGATTTCAAATTAAAAACAATAATCGTGGCTTGATATTGAGTAAGAACATATTTTTATGAACCACACAGCTTCCGGTCTTCCAAGACCCGACCGGAAAAAAAGACGTGCTGCAGGCACGAAACACACTACCAATAGAAATACATTGCTTTTAAAATCGTTCTGTGTGACACGAAAAAAAGGGGAAAATCGTGTTGGTGAACACGAATCAATAGATTACATTAATTTTGTGACTATATCACAAAATGCTGTGAGACTGAAGGGTAGAAATTCCTGTGAACTCAAGTCGTAACAAACATTTGGGAACAACTATCTGGGCTTTCCCAGATTTTTGAAGCATAAATGCAATCAAGTAAAAAGCCACCAACGCTAAGCTAAAGGCCGCTAATGTTCAGTGTGATGGTCTCGTTTAGCCACTTGTTAGCAAGCACAGTGTTATGACCCATAACAGCTTCAGACATTCACCAGTGGGGTGTTTAATGATATATTTGATTTCATAGAACAAAACTTAAACATCCTTCTTAGCTTGTGTTAACAAAACACCTTATTTGAGGCATCTAATCATTTAAAACAACTTACGACGAGGAAACAGGAAGTGCTTAAATGCTAACTCATTTCCTGATTTTCATTCCTGCTCCTCTCTATAAGACCATATACAGTAAAATCATTCCAATACAATTATCATTCTCTCTGGTTATATTCATTATCATTTACCCTCAGAATAAGTAGTGCTTATTTTTAACATTTGTCTGTCTTCATGTCTCTCCCAGATCTCCCCGGGCCTCCCAGTCACGTGTCCATTCTGGTGACCAGCACCTCCTCTCTGTTTGTGACCATCAAAGAGCCGGAGGGAAACACCGTGGGGCTCATCACCCGCTGCAGAGGTGGGTGGTGAAAAAGAGTTTTAATAAAAGTCATCAAGACTTGAATATATAATAGATGATGGGATGGAGATATATTAATAATGTAGGAGGCATGAGCAAAACTAAAGAGAGAATTGAGTGGCTCAATAAAGGAATAATATAATCAAGGTCACACATAATTTAGCCTGACAGGAATAAAAGCCTCATATTTATGGAAGTCTTTTAGCTTCTCTGTTTGGTTTAACAGCTGCATAAATGTCATACTTTGCAGTCAAGGGTAGATTAAGCCCACATACAGCACGTTCCCGAAACTGTAAACACTCAAATCCTCAGTTCCCTCTGAGTAAAGCCAGAGAATAACCTGACAGAGGGATTGTTTTGTGTTCACAGTGGAATGGAGCTCCGCAGTCAGCTTCAAACGCATCCTCGGCTCAACACAAGTCACAGAGACCAAGAACCCAACCATCAGTATCAAGGGGCTCACAGCAGTAAGTCATGCAGTATTTTCAAATACAGCACACACAGCAGAATCACAGTTGGACTACAGTTACGCCCTTGATCACTTGACAAATCAGAATAGATTGCAACTGCACTTGGACTTCAACAACAACGACTGAAAAAAATACTGATTCCTTCCAATCCAATCCAATTTTATTTATAAAGGACTTTAAAACCTCCAGACCAAAGTGCTGTACAGAGAGATACATACAATTTAAAATCACACAGCTCAGCTCACAAAACATACAAATAAGTATAAAATCACATAAAAGGTTCAAACACAAAACAAACTAGAATAAACGTAACAATTACAAAATACACCTTCCTACAAACCTAAAGATGTTTGCTGTTCAACAAGTGTGCCACAAAATGTATTAATGTCACGATTCAACAACAAAGTAACGCTATTCATTTAGCAGGAAGTTCACACTTAGTTGATCCACTTTGTTAGAACCAATCTAAAAACCTCAAATTGTCGCCAAAAAATTGAATTTATTTATTTAATATTTCAAGAATAAAGTCTATATAAATATAGGCATTAAATAAATGTATCATGTACATTCACTTCTCTGTATATCTCAACAGTCTTAGCTCCTATTTCTATTGGTATTTTAATGTATGCTGTTACTGACAAAACAAATACTGAAAACAAATGAAAAAGCTTACAGAAAGATTTATTTTGCACAATAAAAAAAACATTAAATACATTTAAAATACAATTAACTTTCCACCTTAGCTTATTCGTTATAAAAATGACCAAAAAGTATGCATGCACTGATCAGTAACTTTAAAAATGTCTTCACATAGTTTCCAAACTTGGTAACCATCTGCCCTTACCCCCCATTACATTGCCTAAAAGTGTATATGTTGAAGACCCTTTAGAAATCCTTATGTCCCCTCACCACTTTTCAACACTGAGTGACGCCCTTGATACACACATACATTAGCTCTAGGCTTCACTCAGACTGTACTAAACCACTTTCCATAAGAGAACACTTACACCACTCAACTGCCTTACCTAACCAGATGAATGTATAATGACGGCAGCATCTGGCTTTCAATGTCCAGGAAAGGACGAGGTTAATGCATGCTGATCATTTGGCGGTCTGCTGCTTTTTCTCCAAACGCAGGGAGTGCATTACTTTGTGAGAGTGAGTGCCTACAATGTGAAGGGATGGGGTCCGCCTCAGTGCTCGACCCCCCTCAGCGCTGCCCCCTCCAGTGAGTACTCTGAACTGCACACTTTGATGAATGTGTCCTCGCTGCTTTGAAAAGAAGCTCTTTTTATTTTTCTCTCCGTTCCCGTGTGATGAAATGACTCGGCTGACTTCAAACTGGATGTGAAAAAGTGGAATCCACTCATGGCTGCTAGATTAATGAATTATTAAAATTTGGAGAATGAAAGATGTCACCGACCGTGAGTCAATGGGCCTTGTGCTCGTGTTTGAATGGGGTTTATAATATCTGCTGCATGCCATCGACTCTCTCTCACGCTTCATTACATGCTGTTACCTTGCACTTCATACTGTTAAATTAAATTTTGAAATTGAGGTTAAAGGCAAAGAAATATTAATATAAATCCAAATACATTAAGAATATAGAGTGGTGCAGGAATGAGTCCTACAACCTGGAAATTGTTTAGCATGTTAGCCCTTCTGGTTCTCATCTCAAAGTCATTTCTCTTTTGAATGGGTTTTTGGTTAGATGCCTGAAATAAGGTCTTAGGATCACGAAAGCTTACTAGATTTTGACTTTGTTCTACAACATGACATACGTCAGTAAACATCTGAAGCTTCTATGTGTCATTAAAGATGTGTTTGCTAACAACTTTCTAAATGAGACGACTAAACGTTACGCTGAACATTAGCCGCCTTTAGCTTAGCGGCGGTGACGTGAAGTCATGTGACTGTAATGTAGTTTGTTCATACCTTAACGTTAACTTTTTACTTCTGGAGATTGCATTTACACTTCACCTATTATAAAGTGGTGTTAATATGTGGAGATTATCCTGCTGAACAAAACGTATAAGTAAACATAAACATCAACAACTTGTTTTCTTCAATATTCCAAGTGAAAAATCCTATTGTCTTTTTGTCAAGGAAGCGCTTATACCCCTAATATTTCATCACTGCACCGCTATATTACCAAAGTAGTGACAGAAAGATATTCAGTATTTTGCAGTTTCACTTGCATGAAATCAGGCCAAAGGGAATCAGCACACAGACATTCTGTAAAGCGATGGCTCTCTTCTCCTAATCACTGAGATAGGAACATTCAGATCTCAGGTCTTGCCTACAAATGAGTTCTTGATGTCTTCAATGGTTTTCCCTAAATGTATAAGAGATGATTTGTTCCTCTCTTTCTCCCCGTGCAGGTTGGAGAGAGTGCATCGGTGTGAAGTCGCAGTTTCGGAATCATGAGGGCCTCGTGAGGAAACTGCTGGAAGACGCCAGAGAACCACATTACAGAGAATTCTGCCTAGGTAACAGAAACTTTACAATTGCTTATACAGTTCTGGGGAACAAACATATACGAGTCCCTGAAACTACATAAGAAAATATATCATACAACATATGAAAACCTTGGTTGCCAAATTTGATGTTGTAATATATACATATTTACCGTGAAGTGAAGTGGAATTGAAGTCCCAGAAGTTTCCTCATTTTTTCTGTTACAATCCATCACTTTAAAGGTCTCATGTCATGGCCATTCCTACTGATCATAATTCCATTGTTGAGGTCTACTGGAATAGATTTAAATTGTGCAATTTTCCAAACTCACACAGCATCTCTGTATAGTATGTGTATTCACTCTCTGTCCTACACGCCTTGTTGGAGCTCCTGCCCCCCCCTCCCTATGAGCCCACTGTGCTCTGATGCGTGATTATGTGTTACAATGGCGTTTGTTAGCAACCAGAAATGAGAAACAGATGAGAATGCTGCGTGGGGTCTGGGTGCCGTGTTGGCGAGACGTTGCAGGACTCGCTGCTCCGCCCTTTGAGACTCGAGGAGCCGACAGTGTGAGCTGGGTTACTGGTGTCGTTTCCTGGTTGCTGCGTGGGGTCTGCGAGACAACGAGACACGGTGAAACTCAGCCCGAACTCAGCCTGAGCACACACACGTGAGTGTGTGGCGAACTGTGAGTGGAGATCCACACAGCTGCGGCTGAGTGTGCTGGCGAAACTCCGCGGAGTATTGCGGCTGAGAAAAGATAAGGCTTGAGTGAGTGAGCGAGCGAGCGAGGGCGTGCGTGCGTGCGTGCGTGCGTGTGGCAGAGCATCAACTTCAGCAGTTGCAGCTGCCTGTTGATATTCCCGATGTAGTTGGGAGATGGTTGTGCCTGGGTGAAGGAACTTATTGTCTTTGTAGGTCGCTGTGTTTCTGCAGTAGTGCGAATCAACAGTGGGCAGATCCTTCAACTAGTCCTTAAGGAAATCTGTGACAGCAGTTTCCAGCTTTGCATTTTTGCCACTCTTAGGTGGAGATGTAGTCTGCCACTTGTTCGTCATGGTCGATCGTTTCTTTGTTCAGCCAGGGTAATGGTTCTTTCAGGGATACCAAGTGTAGAAGAAAAAAAGCTTCGCACACTTTAAGATTCGTTCCATCCTGAAGTTTCAGTTGGTAGGAAAATTATGAACTGCGCCTGGATCCCTCACCAACTTTCTTTCTTTCAAGGCAACCTTTGTGACCAAAGTGGTGACGTATGTTCTTCCCAGTTGTCCATTGACCAAACTTTCTGAAATATTCACTGCCTCTGCTCTTCTGTAATGGATTGACAGTCTCGAGTCGTGACTCGTTGACAGAACTTCGAATTGCAGGGAAGGCCCATAGCCTTTGCAGCTATTTCTTTGCCACCTTTGGCCTTCTATGCCATTTCTTTGAGACGTTTCTATCTGGATTCATTTTGCTTCCATGTTTCTGGGCTGAGGTATTTATGTTGTTTCCTTTTGACCGTATTGTTTTCATACACAACCTCTAGATGAGGACCATAATGTTCTGAAGTTGCTGCCAGACTGTCTTCATGTTCACGGACAGAGGACTCATCAGAGGATGGATTGTAGTTTGGGTCTATGATAACATCATCAGTATCATTATCATCATCTGTGTCTTCTTCATGGTGTGGACGGGTCTGCTTGGCATCTTCAGCAACACTCTCTTCTTCAATGACAGTGTTTAAGTTATTGTCTGCTCCATCTGATACAGGGTCTTGGCCTGGTACATGCTGCTCCATCTCTTTAACAACGGTCTCATTTTCATTGGATGATTCCTGATCGGTGTCTGAAAAGTCAAGTGCATCTCCTACCAAAAAGGAGTAGGTGTACGGTCACAACTGTGTGATCATTATGAAAAACATTTTTGTAATTGCACTGTGGTATTACAGTAATACATT